TAAAAAAGATCTAAAGAATTAATAAATAATGGGGTGATTTTGTGTTATTGACAAAGGAGGGTGTTAAAAAAATGTTGATTTCTGAAGTACAAAGTGAATAGACGTTGAAAAATCATTGTTTGGATCCTCAGTGTTCGTTTATCGGCTCGGTCTGGAGGCGCTCTCCGGACTTGGAACTTTTCCACGTTGAGGGAAGGGTATCTCAAGAAATAACCACGTTTTTTGTCAATCACTGCACTTTATTTGATCGATTACTCAACAAAACGTCTCGCCTTGCGCGAGAGCGCTACGAGGATCGCGGAGATACGAATTTTGTTGGACACCGTTTTCGTACGTTCGAACTCACTCGCAAGTCGCTAGTATAACTCGAGACGGTCCTCAAACGATATAGAGAGGACCAGCGCGAAAAACTAAGCGAAGCCGCGCCGCTCCGCTCCCCCGCCCCGCCGCTCGCCCTCAGCTCCTCTATCCACCGAGTACGGGGGCGGGCCGGGGAAAAGACAGAGCCTGAAAACAAGGACCGATAACCCGGTCGGCGCAATTCAAAAATCCTATCCGTTAAATTAACGGACACTCAGGTAAGAAGAAATGACCATTATTTGTCCGAGGGATGGTGAGAACACTGCTAGAATGGCTTAAATGTAGTAAAAAATAATATTTACATATAAACAATTAATAATTGGAAAACCATGATTCTAGTCAGAGTTGTGAGTACATTTTGCATGTAAAGATCACGGACTACTTTAGCATTATCCAGGATGCACCACGTGAAGGTATAGTGCACCTAGCATCTCTTGGCAAAGATCAGGAGCCCACAGTTCGTCACTTCTGCGGTATTTAGAGACTCAAAACCCTCTTTGCCATGTGTGTTGTGTGTGTGTGTGTGTGTGTGTGTGTGTGTGATGTTACAAATATTCGTATTCGCATTCGCGAATATTCTCTGATTTCAAAGTATTCGCATTCGTATTCGCAGAAAATATGCGAATGTTTTACGAATATTAATATTTTAGTATCAAATATGCGAATGTTTTACGAATATTAATATTTTAGTATTAAATATGCGAATGTTTTACGAATATTAATATTTTAGTATTAAATACTTTAGTAAAAGTTGGTCTCTTTAGAGAAAAAAATATATAAAATGTAAAAAAAACTAGATAATTCAATTATTGAGCTTTTGAATAAGATACTATTTCGGAGATTTACTGATATTAAATACTTCGCATAATCAATATGTACAGATTCTTTTGCGATTAGAAATACAAAATCATGTACGCGCGCACGTACATACACATGCACGCACACACATACACACACAATCCACATGGCACAGAGGATCAAAATCCCAAAAAAGAGGATTTTGATTATACAAATAGTTACTATTTGTAGAATAAGATTTAATCACTACAACTAAAACTATAGCCTAAATAGATGTAACCTCGTCGACTCGTCCGGCTGCCAATGTGGAGCTCCCCAGCAAGACATCAATTATATATTTTTGTGGCATTGTCTTCTTCTTTCTCTTCACCGCTCCAGTTTCATTGAATCTCTCAAAACCTCTATTAAAAAACCACCTCCTTACGATATATTCGACCTTCTAAAAAATCTATTTCCCCAAACCGTATCACATATAATCATCTTTTTACGTAAATACGACATAGACATTTAATGACTGATTTAAACATTGCCAACTTCAGTGATAAATTACAAACTTTCGCAAAAATCTAATGTATCAAGAGACACGGTAGTGTGTCGCGACAAGTCACAAAATCGTAGCGAGGTATACTTCCGTGTATCTTTACGCGAGTCGGACTTTTGACAGCATCTTGTATTATTAGATCTCATAGAAGAATTGAACTGATCGTATTTTCGATAGACTTAATGGATAGCTTGGATTTAAATTGTATAAGAAAACTGTCTTTACTTTTGCTCTACGTATTATATATACGGAAATATTACGATGTAAAGTTTGATTTTATAATAAAATTGAAAATTTTGGTCAACGTCGTCGACCTTCTCAATGCGCATGTGTGCGAAAATGTACTGTTCGAGCAGTCAACGCTAGATTGTGTTAATGTCGCTCCATGATCCATAATGTTAGGTTGTGTGTCAGCTTTGATGACATGTAACATGTATGTAGGTTATATTATTCCCTACAATGTCATTCAGCTCGATTAAACGACCAAGAGAAAATATCAATTTGGCTGATAAATTCAGAAAAGAATACTTTTATTGCGATATGAAAGTATTCTTATATTATTAGTATCGAGTTCTTTTACGAACGCGTAAATAATCAAGCAATAATGACAAAACGGCAATTCGCGTGAAAATACTCTGTTATATATAACTGATAATACCTAAAAATATATATAATACTTCATTTAACACTTATAATATATTCTCGAACAAATTTACAAACGAACAAACTTGTGTTACTGCAGGATATAAATGTATGATAGATGATAGAGAGGGAGAGGGGGGGGAGAGAGAGAGAGAGAGAGGGGTCTAATGTGTATATTGATATATACTAATGTGTATATTAATATATAATTACATTTATTATAATATAATTTCTGTTATAATATTGTTACGTCCTCGGGACGTCTCTTGCGCTGTCTCACAAAAGGTGTCACACATACTCTCACTCGCGCCCGGAATGAACAAACTCTTGTAATATGGAGAGGAGTTTTAATGAAACGACTCAATACAATAAAGTGAAGAAATACAATATATAATAGGCCAGAATGCTCATCGGTTTTGAAAGCGTCCGCACGGTGCGACAGCTAGACTAAATCTAATCATGGCGCCGGAAAAACATCCGAACGCCGGTTGTCTATAATCAACCCTCCTAGCAATGATACTCAGGAGATGAAAAGGGATGAAGGTGCTCAGGGGATGTAAACCAGGGACGTAACAATATAATTACTTATTTATTATAATATAATTACATTTATTTATATAGCTACTATATAACATGTGTAACTAACGTAAATGTTACATATTAAGTACATATTAGTTGTAATTTCCCACTCGTAAAAGTAATATTTTGTAATATAACATATGTTACATTGTAGTTATATTATAATAATTATATTCCAGATAACACAGTAACTTATCCAAAGATTATTTTCAATATCCTACAATATCTATCGATGAGTTACAGTGATATCTGGGATGTAATTACAATACAACTACAATGTAACATATGTTATAATACAAAAGATACATGTATAAGTGAGAAATTACAATTAATGTGCACTTTACATGTAACATTTACGTTAATCATATTAATAAATATATACATTAAAAAACATAATTTCAATTTTTTAAATATTTATTTTTGTATTTGATTTAATAAAAACAATTCACAAAATAAATAGTAAAAATTATCAATATGCACATTAGACCTCTTTCTCTCTCTCTCTCTCTCTCTCTCTCTCTCTCTCCCCCTCTCTCTTCCTCTCTCTCTCTCTCTCTTTCTTCCTCCCTTTCCTTCATCCCCCCTCCTTCTCTATCATACATACATTTATATCCTGCAGTTACACAAGTTTGTTCGTTTGTGCATTTGTTCGAGAATATATTATAAAAGTGTAAATAATGTATAATTATATTATCAGATATTTACAGAGTATTGTTACGCGAATTGCCGTATTGTCATTATTACTTGATTATTTACACGATCGTAAAAAAACTTGATACTAATAAAGAGATACTAATATGAGTAAATAATGGTATTTACTATAAGCAAAGATGTTTAAAACTTGGAACAAAGCTGTCGAGAAAAAAAAAATATATATATATATATATATTGTTCTGATTCCGAGTCGAAGCCAGGGACTCAAGGCTCGACCAACGATCGACTTTGTTTGGCACCTCGAGCGGATATCGACAGGTCAACCGGCCAGCGAATCACGATTAGCCGCGCGCGTGTCACGCGCCGAGTTCATGCAAAGTTCGTAATTCCGAATCGGTTGTCTTCCCCGAGGTTAAGAAGGGAGTTCAGTTAGCCCAAAAACACAGTCGAGAGCACCCAACGATAAAGCGGTATGCTTGTAACGGATCCGCGATATCCTGTCTTTCTTTGTTCTTGAAGAACGACAATCGAACCTCAATCACGTATTCAATAGTCTATCAAAAGGGTCCGAAGCGTCGGAACCAGATACAGTGTACAAATCTGATATGATACAATAAAATTACTGTTATTAAAATTAAATAAAAGGAAAAACATTGGTCCTTCGAGCCGGATTTTTCGTTGACCCGATCATACGGATAATCAAACTACGCGAGATTCGCGTTGTGAGACGGAACGGGTGAACATTGTCAGTGAGACGTCGGACTGTGACTCCTCGTTTTACAATCGAATGAGTGCAGAAGAAGAACAAAGACAGTGTCGCGTTCGCTATCCAACGGGTTTTCTCTCTGGGCTCACTCACTCTGCTTGAGCGACAAGTGGAGTTATTTTCCCGTCGTGGAGTTAACTTTAACGAACATTCCCGCGGGAATCTAAATGTTGAGCTTCGCGCCTTATTCGCGAGTTCATTTACAAGGTTCAAACGCGGGGGTCTGGTGGTGGAAACAATTCGTGAACTCAAAGTCGAAATTACATCGTGTTTCGCGGAACGAAGTGAAGTATTCCGCGAAGGTGTTGCCGTCGGCGTCGATAACACGCCCGGAACATCATACACTGTGCTAATCGAGACTGGACGCGACGATTAAAAGGGAATCGTCGCGAGTTCGACGCCGTCGGCGTGGCAATTAAACGTCACGGCGTTAATTCTTCAGGCACCGGAGAAATCCGCTTGTCGATAAGAAAACATCCGCGGAAAGGTTGCCGTCGGCGCAGCGGTAACGCTCCCCGGCATATCCCGTGTATTCTTAAGCGACATAACAGTGTCACGATTCGACCGAAAGTCGTCGCGCATTCGTTGCCGTCGGCACCGTGCTCACGAGCCCGGTACCTTCGATCAAGTCACTATTAATAGCTCATTAACGAAGAAATAATGGCAGAATTAAGAAATTTGCTCATCTCGCAAGTTGAAACAATCGACTCGATAAAGCGAGTTCTCGTTAACTTCAAGAAATTAGCGAAAGCTAATGTTACATTAGCAAAGACGCAGGGGCGTCTTGCAACGCTGGAAACGCTTTGGACTTCCTGTCGAGGGCTACACGTCAAGCTGCTGCAAGCCACAACTTCGGAGAAGCAGAAGACTGTCTCGTATTTCCTGAATGGAGACTTCCTGAGCGCCGAGGAGATCTACCACGACACGGCCGACCTCCTTCGCGATAGGATAAGTCGATTCTCAATTAATCAATCTCCGTTGTTAGAACACAGTACTGATTCTTCAATTCGCGAGGGCATTCATAATCACAATTTTCAGTTGCCACGGATCTCACTTCCGAAGTTTTCGGGCAAGTTCTCCGAATGGGAGAGCTTTAAAAATATTTTCGAGTCTCTTGTCGCGAGTAATGATTCTCTCTCGAACACGCAGAAATTTCATTACCTCAAAACGAGCGTCATCAGTGACGCTGCCTCGATTATTAGTAATTTAAAGATTTCCGACGCTAATTATGAGTCCGCCTGGCAGTTGTTGATTGACGAGTATGACGATCAACTTACGTTGATCCATACTCACATTCATGCCTTCATGTGCCTACCGACAATGAAGGCGGAAAACGTCGCGGAAATGCGAAAGTTGAGAGATACCGTGTCCGCATCTCTAGCGGCTCTCACTAATCTAAAGCGGCCGGTACGCGAGTGGGATGACATTCTCGTCTACGTCATCTCTCAAAAATTTAGTTCGAAAACAAGGAGCGAATGGAATTTAAAAATTTCGTCAAGTCGCGAGCTTCCTTCGTACAAGGATATTCATGAATTCCTCACGCTTCGAATACGAGGTCTGTCGGACTTCTCCGACAATCCTAAAGTAATCGTCAATTCTAAGAGTGACAAAACGCAGTCCTCCGTTCATAATCTTTCCGCGATTAAGTGCATTTGCTGTTCCGGCAGTCATTCGGTAATGAAGTGCGAGGAATTTCGTCGGAAAAACGCGACACAGCGGCATGCAATCGCGCGACAGAATCGGGTCTGCTTCAATTGTTTGCGAGCGGGACATTTCACGCCGAAATGCTCGAGCAAAATTCGATGCGCTCATTGTCAACGCTCTCATAACACATTGTTACACAATGAGAGTGATCAAAATAAGGACACAGCGGAAAATTCCCGTTTATCGAATTCGAGCGTTAATGCGTCTACTACCACGAGTAAGACTGTCGTAGTCGGCGACGCCGCCGTCGCCAACGTGCAAACTCTCAAACGTCAGAATACCACGATGCCCACCGTTCTTCTCGCGACCGCGTAGGTTGACATACACACTTCTGAAGGAAGATGTTTTAAGGTCCGCGCTTTATTAGATCAAGGGTCTAATTTTAGCTTTATTTCCGAAGCATTAAGTCAAACGCTTCGCACTAAACGACAGAGAACCGATCTTCAAATAAAAGGTTTCGGGGAGAAATATGCCGGTTCTGCGCGATCGAGAGTTTCGCTAAATTTGACGCCGTGCGAAAAATTGAATCCTGTTTTTCCGGTCACTGCGTATGTATTCCCGCGAATAACTTCGTACGCCGCGTCGCGAATTCGGCCTATAGAATCATGGCCTCATTTACAGGGCCTTTCACTAGCAGATCCGGATCCATCTAGTCGACATCAGATTCACATGCTGATCGGCGCGGACGTGTACGGTTCGCTCTTATTGCGCGACCTGAGACAGGGCCCCTATGGAGCGCCCACTGCCCAATCGACCGCGTTCGGTTGGATAATCTCTGGACCGACCGGAAGTAAAGAAACTACTTCACAAGAAGTAGCTGTTTTGAATTGCGTATCCGCGCTGGATGTGGACTCTCTCCTCCAGAAATTCTGGGAGGACGAAGAGATTCCCACGCCAACTCCCCTCACGGAGGAGGAGGAAAAATGCGAATCTCATTTCGCTCAAACGCACAGTCGTGATCCTGACGGTCGTTATGTCGTGAGATTACCCTTCAAAAATGCTTTGCCGATCGATATCGGGGAATCTCTTTCCATAGCGCGTACATTGTACGGTCGTCTGGAAAATAAATTGAATTCAAAATCCGACCTCTGTTCGCTATACAGAGACTTTCTTACAGAGTACGAGGCCCTTGGACATATGACTCGCGTTGGCGAGTCCGAACCCACTGAGAATATACCGATTTATATTCCCCATCATCCAGTAATGAAAGAGGATAGTTGCACCACAAAGCTTCGAGTCGTATTTAACGCGTCGTGTAAAACCCGGAATGGCACGTCACTTAACGACCATTTGCTCATCGGGCCAAAGTTGCAGCAGGATCTCCCTGCCGTCTTATTGCGTTGGCGTGCATGGCGCTTGGTTTAGGCAGACATCGCCAAGATGTTTCGACAAATACGCGTGCATCCGCGGGACGTCGATTACCAAAGAATCCTGTGGCGTCCGACGGATGACGCTCCGCTTACTCACTTTCGCCTTCTTACAGTGACGTATGGTTTAGCATCGGCACCTTATCTTTCGATGCGCGTGCTTCGACAGCTCGCGCTTGATGAAGGTGCAAAGTTTTCTGCCGCGGTACCGATCGTCAATGATTCCATTTACGTGGACGACGCATTGTTCGGAGCAAACGATATCGATTCGTTAATAAATACGCGAACTCAGCTCGCTGAGCTAATGAGGCGCGGAGGTTTTTCACTTCGTAAATGGGCTTCAAACTGTAGCGAGCTTCTTGACGATTTATCCAGCGATCAATCGGACGTTACCGATCACCTCATCCTAAAGGACGAAACGTTGAAAATACTCGGATTATCATGGCTCCCTACGGAAGACTCCTTCCGCCTTACTGTGAAATTTAATTTTCCTACCGCGTTAACTAAGCGTTCAATCCTGTCGTGCATCGCGAGCTTGTATGACCCCCTCGGATGGGCTGCGCCGGTTGTAATAAACGCAAAAATCATTCTGCAAGAGCTATGGCTTTTACATTGCGACTGGGATGCTCCGCTTCCGAACGAATTGAGTCAACGGTGGAATGCTTTCGCTTCCGAGTTCCCGCAATTAGAATCCGTTAGAATTCCTCGGTGGACGGGTCAGAGCCCTGATAATCTCGCGTTAGAAATACATGGATTCGCCGACGCTTCAAATCGCGCGTACGCTGCGGTCGTATACTTGCGCGTTTTCCATTCTCTTTCGGAATACCGTGTTAGCTTGATCGTTGCGAAGTCGAAGGTGGCTCCCGTCAAGACTGTTAGCATTCCGCGGCTCGAGCTCAACGCCGTTGTTTTATTGAGTCGACTCGTTAAGTGGGTAATTAAGTCATTAAATATTATTCATTGTCCGATCCATTGTTGGACGGACTCCACGATCGCGTTGGCATGGTTACGCCAACATCCATCGAAATGGACTACGTACGTAGCAAACAGAGTATCCGAGGTGCAGTGTAATCTACCCTCGGCCAAATGGAATCACGTACCGTCCAAAGACAATCCGGCCGACTGTGCATCCAGAGGGTTGTACGCATCCAAGTTAGTCTCACATCCGTTATGGTGGGCGGGCCCGCCTTGGCTTCAACGGCCTTCAACAGCATGGCCGCCACATAACATTGCTTCTCCGATCTCCACGGAGTTAACTAAGCAAATACACTCGGAAAGTCGAAAGTCCACTGTCCTTCACGTGGAAGGTACACCGGAATGGGATCTCCCTTATAGATACTCCTCCTGGACTAAGCTCATTCGAGTGACAGCCTACGCCTACAGATTTATATCCCGCTCCGCTAAACAAAGGAATTTTGAAGCTAATGTTGCGTTGTCTCTAAACGCGGACGAACTTAAACGCGCGGAAATGTTTTGGCTCTCATATACGCAGAGGAAGTCGTTCGACTCCGAACTCAAAGCATTAAAGAGAGAAGAAAACCTTCCGCGAAAGAGCCCACTGAAGCCTCTTAATCCTTTTATAGGAAAAGATTCCTTACTACGTCTCGGCGGGCGGTTACGGAATTCCGCACTATCCTTCGAGGAACAACACCCTATCTTAATTCCTCGGGGTCGAGTAGCCGAGTTATTAATTGATCAAACGCACCGAAGCTCACTTCATGGAGGAACTCAACTTGTGCTTAGAACACTCCGCCAAAAATATTGGATATTAAGTTGTCGTAATGCCGTAAAACATTGCATTAGACAATGTGTCGTGTGTGCTCGTTACGCGAACAAACTATCAAATCAACTTATAGGAGACCTTCCCTCCCCTCGCGTAAAGTCCATCATCTCCGTTCACGCATACGGGAGTAGATTACGCCGGGCCGTTCCTTGTTACTTCATTAGTCGGTAGAGGACACAAAGACACGTAAAAGTTACATCGTCTTGTTTATCTGTCTTGTGACGAAGGCTATCCACATAGAGCTCGTTGAGGATTATTCCTCTGCGAGATTTATAGCGGCCTTTCGAAGATTCGTTAGTCGACGAGGATTGCCACAAAAACTCTACAGCGACAACGGCACGAACTTTCACGGGGCGGACCGGGAATTAAAAACGGCTTTTGACAAATTGACAAACGACATTTCGCTACGAGCCACTCTTGCAAACGACCGAGTGGAATGGCATTTCATTCCAGCCGCAGCACCGCACTTCGGCGGTCTGTGGGAAGCGGGAATAAAGAGTCTAAAAACGCACTTGAAAAAGGTAGTGGGTCCGCGTACCTTGTCTCAGGTCGAATTTGCAACACTACTTTGCAGAGTCGAGGCATGTCTCAATTCGCGTCCCATTGCTGCGTTAAACGACGACCCGAGCGATTGTTAGCACTCACGCCGGGTCATTTTCTCATAGGTCGACCAATAACCGCAGTACCGGAAGAATCAGTACTCGCGGTAAACGAGAATCGACTCTCTCGATGGCAGCTCGTCAACGCAATGCACGAGCGAGTCTGGCGTGCTTGGTCTCTTGACTATTTGCATTCGTTGCAGCAACGAAGCAAATGGAAGGATAAGACTGCGAGTTTTTGCGTCGGTGAGCTTGTGCTCGTAAAGAACCCACTGCTCCCTCCGAGTAAGTGGGAACTCGCTCGAGTTACATAGATCCACCCCGGATCCGACGGGCTCGTTCGGGTAGTAACGATACGCACCGCGTGCTCCTCGTTCAAGCGACCAATCACGCTGCTTTGCCGTCTCCCGATTAATTGTGATAATTATTCCGTATTATACGAAAATTTGTAATTGGATTAAATCTAGATTTAGGGAAGAGTTTGTATTTGTTTGCAACAGCGGTTCGCTGGTCTTTCGGTTGAAGATAACTGTGTTATCCGAACGGACGACCTTCGTATAGATATCCGTCCCTATTTGCACTCGAAATTTCGAGAAAGTAAATACTTCGCACGTTCTAAGCAAGCTGTGCTCATTGTTCGCGAATTTTATTTGTTGTCACATAGTCACGTCGTCGCGAAGATTATAAGGTTTCGCCCTTTCAAAGGTCATTCAGCGAGTTTAACATCGATTGCTCATTTTGACACATTATAACGACTCAAACCTGTGGAATGATTTCGCATCGGTTCGCATGCGAGGCGGGCGGTATGTTTAAACTTGGAACAAAGCTGTCGAGAAAAAAAAAATATATATATATATTGTTCTGGTTCCGATCGAAGCCAGGGACTCAAGGCTCGACCAACGATCGACTTTGTTTGGCACCTCGAGCGGACATCGACAGGTCAACCGGCCAGCGAATCACGATTAGCCGCGCGCGTGTCACGCGCCGAGTTCATGCAAAGCTCGTGATTCCGAATCGGTTGTCTTCCCCGAGTTTAAGAAGGGAAGTTTAGTGTTCAGTTAGCCCAAGACACAGTCGAGAGCACCCAACGATAAAGCGGTATGCTTGTAACGGATCCGCGATATCCTGTCTTTCTTTGTTCTTGAAGAACGACAATCGAACCTCAATCACGTATTCAATGTCTATCAAAAGGGTCCGAAGCGTCGGAACCAGATACAGTGTACAAATCTGATATGATACAATAAATTACTATTATTAAAATTAAATAAAAGGAAAAAAACAAAAGAGGACCGTTGTATTTTCATAAAATATGACGGGGTGGTGGCGGGTTCTTTGTTTCTTTATTTTAAAATGTGTAAAAATAATATATACTACAAAAAAGAATAATATTCATAAAAAACTTTTTAAAAAAAGGTAAAAAAAGGCGACAAGTTTACGCGCTCATGTGAAAAAATGTTATACAAAAAAAGTGTTTTAAATTATTATAAAAAACTGCTCTAAAAATGTCATTTTAATTTTATACAATATATTTTTTTGTACAAAATAATTAAATATTTCTAAAAAAAATTATGATATCAAAAAATTGTCAACATGACAGTAAAGTCAATAAAGACCATAAAGTGGTATGTGTGGCGTTTAATTTACATATTAAAAATGTATCTA